CTATTGCAAACCTGGTTTATGTAGCTCTAGAGAAATATTATATGGAGAGAGAGAGAGAGAGAGAGAGAGAGAGAGAGAGAGAGAGAGAGAGGGAGAGAGAGGGAGAGAGAGGGAGAGAGAGAGACAGAGACAGAGAGAGAGGGAGAGAGAGAGAGAGAGAGAGCGCGAGAGAGACAGAGGGAGAGAGAGGGAGAGAGGGAGAGAGAGGGAGATAGCGAGAGGCATTTATATATGTACAACTACCCAGATAGATACTATTGGACATACGGTATATGATATGTCCTACTGAATATCCCCAAGCCCGAAACCTGCCACAAAATCGCAGCCAGGATCCTCCCGTGCCACACACCAGACAGTGCCATCCTCGTTCAGCTGCACGTACACAGTCACTGCGGTGCTCTCGACAACGAAGTTCGGTGGCAGGTAACCTTAGATTGGCAAGAAATACATGTTGGATGCAGGGCTAGCTGCATGTCAAAATCTAGCATGGGCCAAAGACTTGACTAGTATCTGACGGGGAAATCAGGGATTGAACCAAGGTTGCGTCGTGACGTGTGCAGACGAAGTCTGTATATTGTACTTTGCTCAGCTGAAGCTGCCGAACCCTTTTCCGCTACAAGCTGATCCACAATCGCCTGAATCGCCCTACTGAACCTAGATGCTGAGGTGTGCACAGGGGCTTGCGGCTCACAAGCCTCAGCCAATAAGAGAGAATCTGAAGATAGACCCTGCACCTATACATGACAGCCCTAAGCCCCAAGACACAGGAGCTGAAACCCTGAACCTTACCACCCTGACCTATCTTGGTGAGCCCCAAGAACCTTAAACCCTACCACCCTCAGCCCCAAGGCAGAGGAGCTGAGGACTGTACACCTGGCACCCTAAATCCTGTAAGCCCTATGCTGTAGGGGCCATAATAACGACCAAGACCAGCTTGGGAGATCCTTATCATAATCATAGCAATTATATTGGGCCCCAACACCCTATTCTCATTGAATAGGCCTATATCCTAAACCCTGAAGGCCAGAGGCCTCAAGACAAAGGAGCTGAAGACGGGCGCGACGTAGTCGCCGCCGGAGGCAGTTGCGATGACTTGCCTGGTGGCCGCAATTTGGCCTGGAGCTTCGAAAATGGACGTCTTTCAAGGTTCAAGGCTTCAGGCTTAGAGTTTAGGCTTAGGGCTGGCAGCTAAGGTTTTAGGGTATGGAGTTTAGGCCCAAGAGTTTAGGGTTTACTGAAGATTTAGGCTTCCTAGTTACGCCTGAGGCCAGTTCAGGGCGAAGTTTGGTGGAGCTGGCGAGTTCTCTACTTCCCGTACTTTTTCAAGTCCCCCAAAGCGGCCCTTGTTTAGGTCCCCCCAACAATACTACGGCAGCTTTCTGAAAGGGATCCTAAAAAGACCCAAGCTTAGAAAACGACCCAGCTCGGAAGTCTCGAGCTTGGAAATCTGTTTTGGCATGAGACTTCCGAAGCTTGGAGCCTAAAACAAACAGGGGTAATGTAGGGGCCTTAATAATTAAAATAGGGTTTTGGGGGTACAGTGTACTATAATTCTAATAAAGAACCACCGGAAGGGTATAGGTCACTATTGACTTGAGGCCCCTATATTATACTTTGCTAGAGTTACATGGGGGACTATGCAGGAAGAGTACTACAAGTTGTTCCAACCCCTGTATTCGGCTGACAACTCCTAGGATTTTATGACCCTCACCCAGGGCGCCGCGATTCGGGGAACCCTAAACCCTAAACCCTATAACCCCAAACCCCTACACCCAAAACCCTAAACTCCTAAGCCCCTAAACCCTAAACCCCTAAGCCCCGGGAAACCGGATTAATGACAATTAGAACTGGGGCTTCCTTTTTTTACATTACTCTTCAGGACGGAGGCTATCGAGTTTCCAACTTTTGGGCTTCTACTGTAGATGGAATGCGATGTGGTCTTGGCCGAGAGGCTCAAGGTGAACCCGTTGACGAAACTGTCCTCTGCATAACCTGCAGCTCCAGTCATGCCCGACAGTGTCGGCAACTTGCACAGACAATCTATAGACTTAACAAAATCAAGTAACAATAAAACTGTTCAATAAATGAGTACATACATACATATGTATATATACATATACATGTATACACAAATATACATACACACACCTGACTAAATCAATGAAGAAATACATAAGCAAACAACAACCACAGTTTTAACTGACAAGCAAGCCAACAACAGACTACGTAAACACATGAAAGAACAAACGACAAACACAAACACAGCAAACGACAACAAGTATTTTTGAATAAACTACTGTGGTATATGTAATTTGTATAGATAACTTTTCTGTATTTCTTTGTTTGTTTATTTGTGCCTTTACATCTACTCGTTCACTTATGTATATGCGCACCCGCAGACTAGTAAGTGAAGATGAATGCTAAGCTCGCAGCAGTACAGGTCGTAAAGCGTCGCAGGTGCAAGGACGGCTACCACCAAGTTGTAGTAGGTGTTGGCCTTGTGCGCGATGCTATGGGCCGCTTAAGGTGGAGGGATTCCGCAGGCTGCTGGCATGTGCAGGTTGGCTGGACTAGAAAGCTCAACAAACGCCTCGCAAAGCAACGGGCATTTGCTCTTAGCGGTACAAGACAGTCCAACAAGAGCACGAAACATATAGCTCGAGACCGAAGGGGGTTTGAGGCTATGAGTTTTGGTCCTGGCCTCCTATCATCTGTGGAGCGCAGCATGTGCTTGAGAAGACGGCAATGTACAGAGTACAGACGCCTAAACGGATGCAAAAGCCAGAACCGTGGAGACTTAAGTGTGCTTTGATGCCTAAACGGATGCGAAAGCCACACACAATCACACGCTCCAAGCTCGACCACCACAAAGCCACAACTCCGAGCCTCACAAATCTATGACGTCTCAATTAAAAGACGAGTGGCCACTGCCGACGTGGAGTCATAGCCATCAAGACCCGTACCGGTCTTCATCCTCGGATTTTCCCGAAGTCGCTGCTGCCCGCCGTGACGGCAGCAACAACGAACATGTCACTGTCATGTTGCATGACTCTGTGGCTGAATCAGTGTTTGCAGCTGTATATTCTTTTCATGGATGGTGCGGCCTGGTCGGATCAAAACTACTTAATTAGACACATACAGCGAAGCTGCTGGCTGATACTTGGGGTGTAGCTCGTAGCCGTTTCCAGCGCAGCACATGACACGAAGCCGTTTTCGTTCAGGCGTACCTGGTGCAGACAAAAGACAAGACAAGCGCACAAGCAGGCGAACAAACAAGTGAATGTAAACAAACAAAACCACACAGACAGACACATAAACACAAACACACACACACACACAGAGAGAGACAAACGAACAGGCGGACAGACTTTCAGACAGGACAGGACAGGACAGGACAGGACAGGACAGGACAGGACAGGACAGGACAGGACAGGACAGGACAGGACAGGACAGGACAGGACAGGACAGGACAGGATCATGATATTGGGTTTTATGTGCTTCCTCTCTATCTCCCTCCATATATATATATATACACACACACTGACTTACACATCAGGATATGTTTATAATCTCTCTCTCTCTCTATATATATATATATATATATACGCAATACATGTTTATATGTATGTTTACACACACACATAAATATCCCAGACTGCACCGCATGATGCGAAGGAAACTGAAGATGTCGTGGCTCCTGCTGAGGCCCTTGCAGTCATCAAGACGTGGAAGATGAAGGGCTTTGTGTCTTCGATTTGCAGCCTGTTTAGGGTTTAGGGTTTAGGGTTTAGGCTTCCGGGTTTGATGGCTTGGAGTCTTGGAGGATCAGAATTTCGGGTTTAGGGCTTATGGGGTGCAGGTTAGGAATTCGATACGGTTCTCGAAGTTCTCGATGTGGCGTGTGGGCCGCGCTGGGCTGCATGCTGCTTAGTACTCTGTCTTGCATGAGACCTTCACGGTTAGTGAATGTATGAGCTTTGGTAGAGATCGAAGCCATCATCAGTCGTGAAAATCAGCTATGATGCCATGTAAGTCTCTGGCACAGGCGGCGTCGTGTCTGCAGCACAAACGGCGAGTCGAAGCCATAGCAGCGTGAAGAAGGCGAGCATGGCGTGCTCGCAAGTTTTCAATGTCACAAACAGTCGAGTGGGAGATCATTGCCCTTCAGTGCTTTGCAACTACCCTAAACCCTAAATCCTAAATCTCAGCTGCTAAAGCAAAGTCCCCGAAGTTCTGTGTGACCTCCTGACTTGTGCTTCTGCGCTTCTGCTGGAATTTTAGGGTTTTCAGAGTTCTATTTATAAAGCTCGGGGTGTCTGGGGGAGTCCTGATACTCAGCGAAACAAATCTGCGCCATGCTCTCCGGTGATACTGAACCATCCGGAGTGCTCAGAAACTGCAACAATCACTATTGTAGTCATCGTTTCCCTAAACCCTAAACCCTAAACCCTATGAACCTTCTCACCCAACATTCAACCCTAAACACCGTGAAAGACAAAGCATACACCCCCAACCCTTAAACCCTGTATGCCTTGATCGCCAACTCCGCGGGAAGGACACCGTTGCTATTTCAATGTTACAACTTCTAGAGAAAACGTCGGTTAAAGGATTTTGGTGCCCCTAGATGGGCGGTCAGAATCAAAACTCCGGGCACTGCGAGCATGTCCGGAAAGCTACCCATACTCTCCAAAGTCGTTCCCTGTTTGCACTTTGGTTCACAGGTTTCATGCATAAACCCGATACAGCCTAAACGTCTGTAAACCACAAAAATATAGGCGCCTTCATCCATCGAATACCATTCTGGGTTCTTGTATGCGGTTGAGGGTTTATGGTCTATGGTTTAGGGGTTTAAGGGTTTTAGGGTTTATGAGTTTAAGGGTTTAGGGGTTTAGTCAAGCACTACAAGGGCTCACGAATGCTCTTTAAATCGACCCCTATACCTGCTTTTGCCTGCAAGCGCAATGCAGGGGTGCCGGAATGACTGGGCATAGGTGAAACACATGCAACGAAAGCTCTGCTTGATCTAGGGTTTAGGGGTTTCGGGTTTAGGGTTATAATACACTGGGGCATCCGGATGAAATGAGTCAAGTTTCTTGTATGCTGGAGTTTAAGAGCCAGGACATAGTGGGCTTAGCATAACTCTAGGGTCTTGTTATTCAGCGGGTTAGCTCTTTGGGCTTGCAGGGGGTTCAAACAAATTCTCATTGATGACAGGCGCCATCATGTGCAGCCCATATCACCACAAGATGTGCACAAAGTGCGCCATCAGCTTTGCAGCCAGGAAGATGTTGACAACTATTCTTCAGCCTTGGTCTCCTCCTGCTTAGCCTTTTCTTGTGCATTCCTGGCAGGTCAGGGAGAAATAAGTCAAGGAAACTCCTGTGCCGACGACGTAAGTCGTAAGGGTTCTCTTTCACCCTAAACGCCGGCCCTAAACTCTAAACCTGAAGCCAGGACAAAAGAACTCAGCCAAGCGTGGAAGCCGCACGTCATCGCTTCGACGAACCATTGAGGCGGCCCTTGCTGCTTTAGCTTTTCGAAGGCTTCGTCCATAGGATTGTTCATCTCTGCCTGGAAGCGCGGACTGTAGATTCTACGGGGTTTGCGGCTCTAGGGTCTTCTACCTATAGTCTCCATGGTAGTTCCTTTTTTGGGGTTACCTTTTAGGATCCTTAATATAAAATTGGTTAAACCGAGAAAAGGAACTACAATGGAGACTATAGGTAAACTTCAAGGGTTTAAATTAAACGATGAAGGAGGGGTCTGAGGTCCCGAGGCTCTCGAACATCAGGGACCTTCTTCTGATTCTGGACCCGAAATACTACCAGGATACTCCAAAACCCTACACCCCAAACCCTATGTAAGGTACGCCAGCGGTGCAAAAACTCCCAGATCCTGGCCTTGAGCCGGTTGTAGGCTGGAGTAAATGGGGAGGGGGGGGGGGGGGGGGGAACCCCCACAAACGGCTAT